TGCATCGTATCGCGCGAGTCGACTCGAAAGCTATGCCCGGCATGCGGCTTAGCTCCGGAAACAGTGATGCACTTCCTTCTACAGTGCCCCGCCCATGCCTCAGCGCGCTCAGAACACTTATCTCGCCTCGGACGACGAGGCCGGGCCTTACCCACCCTCCTCAACTCACCCTCAGCATTACAACCGCTACTCAAGTTTGTTAGTGCGACACGACGTCTCCAGAACACCTTCGGCAATGTGACACCCAAAGAGACGAGACAACATCAAGATCAAGACCGGAGGGGTCGCAACGCATAGAACTCGCTGGCGCACTCGGACGCGCCTTTTCCTCCCTCTCTTACTCGCTCGCTGTACAGTACGCTGACTACCTCGTCCGTTTATTACAGGAAAGCGACCACACACATCCCACTACATAGAGTCCGGTAGTCTAGTGCTAACCTCGTTGCATGTATCCAACGCTCTCGTAGATCCCAACGGAAACGTGCGTCGCGGGCGTCCGCCCGCTCTAGGGGCGGGGGAGTTCTGACGGACGGCGGGGACACCGCCGAACGTACACCTGACTGGCGCAAGAGGCGAGACCCAGGGGCGCAACCGCACCCAAAGGCCGCAGGTTTATAGCCCGTTCCCTTGCCTTCAATGGCCAGGACTGGACGGACGCCCGCAACGCATTCTTCCTGAGCCCTGCCCCCTTTACACACTACTTGCGTACTCGAACGTCTCACTCTCGCCCCTGTCTGTACCCCGGCACGTCCCCTTGCACCATCCCTCATCGATATCTCCTCCATTACACACCCTTAGACTGCATGAGCATCCTGCTCAATTATGTACCGCCGACCCCTTTTACCACACATGTAGACAGGATTGTATTTACGGCCTACCATGAGGCTCGGCCTCGCAGGGCAATAAACGGGATCTAGAAGAAGAAGAAAGAAGGCGAAGGGAGCGATGACAAGTGTTATAGGCAGAAGCTCAACGCTGGACCGGAGTGGGGAAGAGCCCCTACAAGCCTGAAAGTATGTGGGAAGGTAGTCTTCGTAGTTCAGGAATGCGTCAGCCATGTGTTGGGATAGACCGCTACAGAACACTCACAAAACACGGCGGTACTCGTTAGGCCGTGGAAGAATGTTCCGATGTACCTGCAGGATGTTGAGCTCGCGATTCTGGTAGATTGGGTATTGGGCGTACGCTGCGAGGGTAGTCCTGTCGCTGACGACTTCCCAAGGGATACTGGGTTCGTTAGGAACTAATCGTTCATACACGAAAAACATGCCTATGAAGACAAAGCCGATGACGAGGGTAGCCAGTGTATGGGGGCTTGTCCACTTGTACGCAACCCCTCCCCAGGTAAGACCGATGAGGGCGACTGTCGTGCCGGCGATGATAATCAGATTTCCTCTGTAAACGAAGTGTCAGAGATTTGATCAAGAGGGCTCGACTGCACAACTCACATAGTGTCGAGATGTGCCAGTTTGTCGCCGATTGTACCCGGGGGCATGCGCACGCGTAGGAACAGAAGTACGAGAACGAATGCGATGCCGGTGAGGGGAAGATTGAGATCTTCGTGACATTGAATAGAACGTCAAAAAGGTATATTTATCGGTGAACGTACATAATATCCAACGCCACGCATTCGCCTGAGCAAAGGCGGCGCCCTAGGTGATATAGCTTAATGAGCAGACGCCATGGCCAAACAACAAGCGACTCACAATCGGGGGGCCAATCCCAGACGCCAGAGATGATACCCATAAACATCCCCCGCTCTAACAGCGGAACGAGGTCGGACACGATGATCTCAGAAAGGTTCCAAATTCCTCCACTACCGATGCCCTGTACCGCTACGCGACATGAGCAACATGCATACCAGCCCCAAACAGATACTCACTTCGTGCCCCGATGAGCATATCCATGCTCTGGGACGCGCCAGAGAGCGCGCTCCCTAGGAAGAAGAGGCCGACCGAGGCAAGCATGACAGGTCGCCTCCCAAAGGTGTCGGCGAGGCGACCAGATAGGGGTAGGCTTGCGGCACTAGCGAGGCCATAAGCGGAGCCGACCCATACGAACTTGTCCCCGCCATTCAGGGAGTCGGTGATCGTTCGAAGGGCGATAGAGATAGCAGTGAGGTCAAGTGCACTGACGAAGGAGCAGACCAAGATTGCGATGAATGTCAGCCAGAAGGCGGAACCTTTGCGAAAGCCAGATGCTGGATTGCTAATGGTATCCGAATCCACAGTCACTGTGGGCTTTTGCGCGGTTGCAGGTGATGAATCCGAGGACATAGCAGGCACGGATGTTTAGCGGATGTCCCGATGGGACTATATATCAACCGAGGTGTCTTATATCTAGAGCACACCTCTTGCCCCGACCTATACCGCTACAGACGTGCAGTATGTCTTGCGTACGCGCCCGCAATCATGAGCATCCAGGCTTACGTGTCTCATCTAGCCGTGGTAACGGGAACCTTCAGGAGTACATACCCGAGAGCGCAGAGTGCTGAGTCGGAATGGAGACCGTGTAGGCTGTGCCTAGTCTCGCTCAATCATTGTGGGTGACATCTAAGCAGAATGCGATGAGGTATTGAGACGCTTACTACATAGCACCCACAGTATGGTCGTCGACATGACCGCCGTTTGCATCGACTCTCTCCGACCCGGAGCATTCACGGATGCTTTCCAGATCATTGAAAGTAATATGGCTTACCGGCGTCGAGATGTACATCGAAGTAGTACTCGGATGCAGAGCGGAACACGAGCAAGACAACAGGGGAAGGTCTATCAGCGAGAGGATCAAGAAGTTGGGAAACAATCGTCTGAGCGGCGTCCGGCCACCGTAGCGCGACGGGCGTCCAACATTCCATATCCGGTAATGAGCGGTCTGTCACCGCAGTACTGGTAACTATCCAAGAACCTCTCCTCCATCCGTTCACTTGTTCTGGGCTCACCGCTACCAATCCACACACAAGCGTACTACGTATCTCTTGGGTGCGTCGTATATATAAGCCCTGTGAGGGTGTATCCGAAGACAAAAAAGCTTCCCCAAATCATGAGCGGAGATCAGTTCCTGGCATCGCCGCATATTCGACGTGCAACATGCTTCTTTACTGTTCACCGGAAATGTATGGGCTGAAGCTGCAGTGACCTTGGATATTGACACATACCAGCCCCTGCCGGAGGCATTATCGCTCTGTGATGGATCAACTGATCATCGATAGGCAACTCGAACGTAACACTACACCTTGCCCTTTTATCTTACCAAGCGAGACCACATACGATCACCCATAGATACATCTGAGTGTCGACTAGGTGAGTGGTATCTCTTCAGTAGTCTGAATCCCAATGTAACGAGGACAGACCAGCACCTTGTGGCTCTTCAGCACGGATCGCGCTGAACCCCACGATCCGGATAAGGTACCAGGTGGATATGCAATCCTCTCTCACGTCTGGGAGGGTCAAGAACAGACTTTCGAGGCGACCCAGGAGCTCCGCACCTCTTGCGCAACGACAGGGCACAACCCACGTGACCGTCCATCCCCCAAAGTCCGCACCCGCTGCATCATCGCGGAACAGCTCAGATTTGAATGGTTACGAAACGACACCGACTGTATCAACAAATAGGGCAGCTCCGAGCTCTCCGAGGCGATTAAGATCAAACGCGATGTTCAGCTACTACTCTCTCGCGAAGGTTTGTTGCGCGTATCTCTGCGACGTCCCCCTGCGTCCCGTGAAGCGCTCAATGCGGTAGACTCCGCGTTACAACGAAGCAGGTGGCACAAGCGTGGCTGGACGTTGCAGGAGCTCATTGTTCACACATTCCTGGTCTTCTTACCCAAAAACTGGACTGCGCTTGGCACGAAGCCGGATCTCGCCGAGCTGCTCGCAGAACTCACTCGGGTGCGCGTCGCTATTCTGCAGATGACGCAGACAATGAGCGAAGTAAGCAGCGCATGTCGGATGTCCTGGGCATGTGATCGAGAGACGACGCGCGTCGAAGATTCGGTGTACTGTCTCTGCACATGCGTATCTGTCCAGCCCGTCAGTCTGAGCTCCTCTTGTCTATTTGTCTATATGCCAAGCGTGGGTACTCATGTTCTCTAGGATTGCAAGTCCTCAGGCTCTACAGGCCGCTGAGACAGCCAAAGCCTAGGCGCCGTTTCCCTCTATGAGAGGTCAGCTTCCCAGCCGCTGTTCGTCCGCAACCCCCTCTGCGTGACACCGCCCTTCCCCGAACACTGTATCGTATCTTCTTTATATGTCGCCCCCACGGCCCTCTGCTTCGCTCGTCAGTATTGTTCGTGTACCTCCTCACAACCATACAATCCCCCTCTGCTCTGAAGGAGCATCGCTATCAACGCACTGCAGTAGACCGTCTTCGCCGTTCACATTCCTCTCAAGCGCGCTTCCTCTCCCACATCTGCTCTGAAGGAGCATCAACCTTGGGCCGTTGCTTTCGCCCTGTTAACGCCTGGTGCGGTACTCGCGCTCACGTTCTCCTACTTCATCGCTCTGTCCTTATGTCTTGCTGTGCCCAGGTTCCTTTACCGTCTCTCGACATCTATCGCGCTTGCATTTCGTACATCGTATATGAAAACTTACTCCCTCGTCCACTCATCGTAGCTTGTCATCTTCTCTCTCGTTCGCGTTGTGCGAATAACCATCGCTTTCGCTCTGAGTACTACGGCGCCGTCGCAGCTGGGACCAATGCCTTTCCGTCGGTAGGCACATATGCACGCTCTTGACGGAGAGTGTTGTCCCTTGCCCATTTGTCTACCCATTGCCTACCCCTCAAACGTTCTCTCACTGAACGGCCTTCCTCCAACAACAAAAGAAAAACTATGCGCTCTTCCCAAAGCCGCGCACACTGCCAATACCGCCACAAGCCTCGTCCTTCTCTTTCCTTCGCCGGGGCTCATCACGCCGACTCCGCCAAGCCGCTCGGGTACATTGAGATCGTGGCCCTTGCCTTCTAGCCCACAGACGCCTGTATCGTCCAATAGAAAAACCATGCTTTGAACATAGCTTCTCCAATTCGGAGAACACTCTTTCCTCCTCGTTACCACATATCTTGGCTGCACGATCTGTATGTTCATAGCGCAATAATGGATCCTGGTATTATACAGCCACAGCTCCGTCCTCCGCCATCGAGTCTGCTGAAAAAGCACCATCTTTGTCCGGGGAAAGTGACGCGTCCTGGAACGATATCATCGCAATGGGAGCGTTCCGTCCTATCACAGCGCCGTCATCCGCATCCGTGATGGATGAATGATTTGTCTGTCGCCTCCTAGAACGGAAGACCGAGGAATTCTCAGAGCGTGAATTAGTGGTCTGGTTGGTCCGTGAGATGCATGTGCTCTCTATAGTCTTTCCCTGCTCGAGACGAATGATGATCAGGTTGAAACATATACCCTAGTAGACGATGTTTGGTCATCAAGGGGCTCTGTAGAAAGGAAATCAGGTTCTCACGATGATTTGGACATTCTAAAAGGCGTCACCTTAGTAAGGCGGTTTGTATATAGACGGGGAAAGTGAACTTACGCAATCGGAAACAGCATATTCTGCATTACTTGAGGTCGCATATACGGCAAAGAAGATGATGATCGCGATGGAATACATCAGTCCGGACTCGATAATGATGCGCATAGCCCGTCTCAAGCCAGACCCGCTACTTCCAAAGATGACTCTCGACTGGCGCTCGATTGACCCGATCTTGTACGCAATCATTACTATAGACACGGAGGTATTCATCGCTAGTTCAACATGAGTAGAATAGCAGCACCTACAGGTAGCAATAATATTGAGTCCCAGTGATAAGCTGAGACCCGATATGAGGAAAGGCTCAAGTTGCTTAGCGCCAAGGAATGTAGAAGAGCGAAGAGTGAATTCGATGTAGCACGCAATGGCTCCCAGCGCTGTTGAATGAGTATATCAGCTCAAGTCAATTATGAGGGATGGGCTCTGGTCTAACTCAACCCTGCAACCCATACAACACACAAAGTTACGGCGAGAGCCCAGCTTCTGTCGAATACAATATAACATCGGTAGATCTGCCGACAATCAAGAAACGTGTCAGACACTATCCCCTGAGAAAATACGGGACGTACTAGCATCCCATCGGCTATGCCAGTTTGGGCAACGCTATTGACGGTCTTCATAGCATTAACCCAATAGGATATATCTGAGAATTCGCCAATAGCACCACCGGGGCCATGATACCAGATGAAGGCATCCAGGACATGGCGAAGAAGCAGTGCAACGTCCAGAGTAGCGAAGACAAACAACAGCAAAACTACCACAAAATACCCGATACGCTGAGAGTAGCGGGTCCGACTATTCCCCAGCATAGTGTACATGCACATTCCGAAGGTCACAAGATATACCCCTTCAAGAGCAGTCACTACGATGGAATGAGGATGGCAGACTCATAGGAGGTCGACTCACCATAGAAAAGGCTTTCGAGGAACAGGGCCACAATTTGAGCGACGTCAACGGGGAAGTCAGTCATCGTCACAAAATGGGAGGCTAGACAAGGGAGCCTTAGGAAGGAGAATCACCACGCAGTAGGGCTCTTTTATAGTAGTAGGGTGCAGTAGGCCATGATTGGAGTTTGACGTGAAGTCTGAAAACAGCTAGAGCCCTGAGTGAGTTTCGATTGTCCAATGTTATCAGCCAGCGCCATCTGGACAGATTGATGAGAGTGAAAGGGAGTCACAAGAATCAGATTCTGGTGGCACAAGAACTATGGAACGCTTCGTTTCTATTGCGGACACCCTTCAACTTGTGAAAGACTTTCCTCGGAAGGAGTAGGAAGTCATCATCAAGTGGATTGAGTTCAAGGGGAGATATTCAAATGGCAAGCCAGGAAATAGCATTCCTGCGCAGGCTCTGCCAACTCTGTCCGATTATCGGAGATAGTAAGACCGTATGGGAACTGGACAATAAGGCTTCCAATTAAGAGACCGAAATGAGCATATTCCCATGAACGTTGACCACAATATCATCTCTCTCGAATGACAGGGAAGAAAGCACCCTGTGGTCAACCCTTGGATGAGGGTCCGAACCTTGCCAACGATGGCAATGTTCGAGACCTATTTGTTTCCATCCATGCAGCCTTCTCATGATACGACCGTCCTTGTTGATATATGCAGATGGATGATCGATGACCTGTTAGGTGCTTACAGTGCAGTTGAGCGCCCGTCTCGACTTGGAAGCAGCTAAGACAACGACGACTAACGCCATCTACAGCGAAGATCACTATCAATGCAAGGACAGGACCTCTGCCAATTATCCCGGGAGCAAACCATTGGAGTATGTTAGATTTCACGCTCAACGCACTAGGCGCTGTAGATCGGCATCTCCCGTAGACACTAAACATCACTCGTCACATTCCAACGTCCCTCACTCGTTCTACCATCTATCCGAGTGAGGGTACGTCGTCCCCAGCATTATCAGCACATACTACATACTTACAGTACCCTGTAGCTTCTCATACACGGGCTACAGGTATAATACACTCGTTCTACCATCTATCCGAGTGAGGCTTCTCATACACGGGCTACAGATTTTAACAGGTTATGAGCCCCTGCGCCTGAAGTTTCTGCCAGGCAGCTCTGTAGTCATCCATTTGCGCTCCCCAGCCTCAACTCGAGTCAATTCTATCACTTGGAGCACTCTACTATTGCCGTATCGATTTTCGGCAGGCGTTTGTGGCGCATATATCCACTCCTTTACAGTCGCGGTGCGCATATAGTCACCTCTTTCCTCTCTCTTCT